CCCAAAATAACAATTTCTGGTTGTAATAAGTCAATAGCATATAATGAGTAGTTTGTCAACAAATTTAATAAAATATACCTACTTCATTATTATGTGCATCCATGTAATAATGCATTTTTTTATTAAGCATCTTGAGCAATATACACACAATTAGTATGCTGTTAAATAAAAAGTAATTGTAGTAAGTTATGTTAACTCTGATTAACGTCGTTAATGAAGAATTTTTTTTTTTTAATAAACCGGGCATGGTTCAGGGGTAGCGTGCTTGTTCTGTGAATCTGAGATTTCATGTTTTGCGACTTGCTGCCACAAAAAACGTGCTCCTAACTTTGGAGCTATGAGTAGAGTGTAAGAGACTTGGCTAAATGTACCAGATAAGAGTATCTCGTGTATTGTTGCTGCATGCTAGTATATCAGCTCAAAATTTGGAAGAGGAGAAGTGGCATTGTCCAGTGGTTATGGTGCTAGACTCTCAGTCTGTGGGATGGAATTCTTCGCTGAACATTCTCGCCTTTTCAGCCGTGAGGGAGTTTTAACGTGACTGTCAATCCCACCATTTATTGGCAAAAGAGAAGCAAAAGAGTTGGCAGTGATAGTGTTAATTAATTGTCTACCTTCCAGTTTATCATTTCAAAATTAGGAACAGCTAATACAGATAGCTCTCGAGTAGCTTTACATTTCAAGAAACAAATAAAAATTTATTATTATAAAGCTGTTTTTCTCAAGTAGCAACTCTACTCAATTTAACTTTTTATACCGAGTAACGGATTAAAAGTACTAATCACATTTTAGGGATTGGGCGAGTATTTTATAAGTCAAAGATGGATATAATAAAACGAGTTTCTAAATACATTTTGAAGTTTGGTGGCAGTTGGAAATTAGATAGTCTAGATTGAAAAAATAGCTCCTTTAGAAATGAACTGATTCGCAATACAGGACTTGTTACATAGAAGGGATACGAAACAAATAAATAAGATATAAATAAATGTCTTTAAATGAAGGTTTAAACATTTATGTTGCAATCTAAATAATATGACATATTAATTAATATTAACATCCGATCAGAGCAAGAGGCAATCATCGTTAATTAAGTATATATTTCTACTTATAAAGATTGGAATGCGTTGTTTCATCAGTTGGTTAATCGCTGTTAACACTATTTTCGGCCATAATGTTAACCATAAATAAGTCTGGTAATATTATTTAGGGGAAAAGAGACACCTATAATTCGTCATGCGCAGTAAGATACACGTGCTGTTTCTGTGGAGGGACTATAGTTGCTCAGAATTGTAAGAAGGATAGTTGTGGACATGGCTCAAAAGTTTAAAGAATTTGCAGGGAGGTTAAGTAAAGGTGGTGCAGGGCCAAGTGGTTTAGGAACAGGAATTAAACTATTAATAGCTGCAGGTGGTTTAGCTTATGGAGTTTCCAAATCAATATATACAGGTAAGTTGTGCTACAATTAGTACTATTCCTATTATCATACAATATCATTATCAGCGAATAGAAGCACTGTATAGTATACTAAGGGCCTCGTCGTAGTCGAACGTTACCGAGTACCGACTAATACTTTTGTAGTCAGACAATTACACAATTATTACTGTTAGTATTACTAGACTAATTTTTTAAAGAAATGGCTTTCAATTATTAATTTTAGGTTTAAAAAATAAATTTGCTGAAAAACATAAAAGTATTTGACATTTAATTAAGTATTTGAAACTGTAGCAGACCATAGTGATAGTGTCGAGTACGCCGGCACAAGAGATCCGCCATATTGATCAAGGGATGTAAGTTCTAACTACGTTAAACTAGCAGTGAGAAGTGAGTATAATTATTGAACTAATTGTTTTGTTGACTTGCTTTGTCTAAAGTAAGTATTCCCATATTTGAAGGATTTTTTTTTTGTTTTGTGGCGTACTTTTTTGTAGATTACTATTAGCCTCAACTGCGTGGACCTTTTCAACTTTGACTTGAGATTCATAGACCACAGGAGCCTCATTTATATTTTTTAATATGCTTTTATTTTGTTTTTTTATTGACTGCTCTTGGTGTTTCTTGAGTAATAGCGTTTGCAAATAAGTAAGTCGTAATGTGCAGTAGCTTGAAGGGCAAACTATGTGTTCAATGATGGCAAACATTTCAATGACTGTGAACAAACTTAAGAGCCATCAAAGTGTGTGGACTATACTTACAAGTAAAATACTGCTATGTTGACATTTGAATACTATGTAAGGTTTTACTCTCCTTCCCTAAAACTAAAATGATATTGTCTTGTTGGAAAGGGTTCAGAGGAAGGCTATTGGGATGATTCTGAGGATGGAGATCGATTACTGATTGATGTATGAAATGAGTTGTCATTAGAAGTAGTAGAAGTGATACTTATAGAAATTTAAAAGTGGAATTGTAGATTACGTGAAAAATAAAGTGGAGTTTAAGCTAGTATTTTTTAAAGGTTGGGTCAGTATCTTGGGTGTGCAAGGACATCCTTGAAGAAGTAAATCTAGAAGGTTTCTGTAATTAAAAAAAAATTACACATTTGGATTCCACAGTCAAAATTAGTAGATATACACTGAAAGTTTGATTATTTAGTTAGTAATTAATGAAAAACATTGTACCTGTAAATTAACCTTTCACACCACATGACCTTCCCATTGGAACAATGTTAAAATGTTGGTGACTGATCAAATTATTACTTTACCTGGTAAGGTGAGACTGTGTGAAACCAGTGTCAAGGCAAGATATAATGTAGTCCCAATAAATCTGTCAATTTCAAACTTGTACACCTGGATTCATATTATATGGATAAATGAAATTAAAATTGTCAACAACCAAGTATTAAAAATGAAGTATTAGCGTACCTATGAACGTATAGGAGAGATTTTGTAATCATATTGGTTGTGTAGTTGAAATACTGTGATTGACAGATATGTACCACTAGTAAATTCATCCTGTTCTACATGATGCTGTGATGTAATTGATACATCATTCATACCACTTTTATTATAGACTATTACTTATACTTATAGCAAACTGTTGTTAGGACAACATATTGTCTGTTTATGCCTGATGATATGATGTAAAGCAAGTTGTTGCCAGGCCAACATATAGCCTGTTTACAATCCCCATTCATTGTTTTCTGACATGCTGTTGATTCGAGTTGGGCAGACATATCTGTGTATTGGTTTATGCATTATGTAATCTGCACCACAAAGTTTATTGTATGGCTTTGTTTCTGCAAATTAAATGTCTAAAAAGAATTTTAAATGGTTTTAGTGCTTTCTTTGTGTGATTTCAAATATTAAATGCTACTGGATCTGATGAAACCAGCCAGACCAAAGTAGAGCATGAAGAGAGCTATTATTTGATGTATCACTGATCCTTATTGGTCCAGTCAATTTGAAGTGACACCCTGTTTTTGGTTTTAACATTTGCTTGCTGGTCACTACCAAATGTCAGAGGGAGGGTTTAGTAATAATCCAGATTTTTTTTAAGCCAATTTACAACTAGTGGGAGTACGGTTGCCTTGAAATAAATCATGCAAACTCAGATTGTATTAGTGCTGTGGACATTTTTCATTTGTTGTTTGGTGTAAAATAATTAATACTATGATTTAGGCTAGAAACCATAATTCTCTTTGTTAATTTGTCAATTTAAATATAGATCTGTACATACATGTATGTGTTCATCTAAAATAATTCAAACTAACTGCACATCATCAGACAAAGCACACCACAAGTTTATATTTAGTTATAACCCTTAACTTAAAGAAAAACTGTATGAAAAAAGTCCTTATCTAGGCTTCCATTACTCTTAATATTTAATTTCCAGTGTTTTTATCCCACCACTTCTACAATTCGTAGAAGATTATTCAGGTCCCTAACAGTTTTTAACATGTGGAAAACTTTTTTTTTTAATCCAAGAGAACACTAAACTGTTTTAAAATGAACTTATGTCCTTCCCATTTACCACCACTATTAAGATCCTTTCAAATACCTGTGAGTGAAGCATTCTCAGCAAAATATGATCTTCCCAATATTTTAGGATCATTAAAACAAAAACAAAAATCATTACTAAGCAGAAATGTATTTGAAATAAACTTAAATTGTATACATAAAACTAAAAACAATCCACACATTTCAATTAATGAAGTTGATCATCAAAATAAAAACTATTGAAACTGAGCTTACAGGCTTAAATCCTCTGAAGAAGGGCTGTTATTAACCTAAAAACGTAATAGTTTTATTTTTTTTATCATTACCATTTTGTTCAAGTTACATTATTGAAGTGTAATATGTAGTTATTTCCCTTTTCCTTATTTTTAACAACTTGGTTTTACATGCTTAATCACTTAAATCCAATTCAACCTGACACTTTAAAGAATTTATGCCCTTGAAGAGGAACTATTGTCAGCCTGAAAACTTAGGCTTAATAAATTTTGTTTAAGTTCTGTTGGTGAAATGTAAGTTCAATCCTTTCTTTATATTTTTTAAAAATGTTTCACTTACTTTGAAGTCATCTATAACAAACAAAAACTTAAGCCATTAGCATAAGTAATAAATAATGGAGGTTCTAAAACTGCCCCCCCCCCCCCAAGGTTTGTACGAGTCGGGTGTTTTAATTCAGTAAAATTACCTTGTTGATTCTTCAAGTAATAACATTGAAACACTCGGTCCATCTGTGTTCTCCTGTTTTCTGTTACTACCCTATTCCAAACTACATATAGAAACCTCTTTCATCCATCCAGCTCTGATTTCTAAAATTCTCAAAATCTTCTACTACACTTGAAGGCAAATTTTCACAAGTTGATTATCCTATTAAAAAGTAACATTGCTTTAACCAGAGTTATGACTGTTTTCCATACCTTGAACATGTTTCATGTAGTCATTGTTGTATATAATCACATTTTGATGTGTAACACTAAGTGTTCAGTCCTACTCTTGACTTTTCTGCAAATTCCATAAACAACTTACTAATCAGTATTTTTTTTTCCTACCAGGAAATTTAAAACAAAATTGGTAGACAAGAATTATTTTTTTGAAAGCCATGTTGAGTATCATTAATTTTATGCTGACTTCCCAAATGATATTGTGACCTCAGAAAACATAATCGAAAAACCTTGCTCACAAATGAAGTCAGATTATTAGGAATGTAATGTTCTTGAACCTCCTTAGACACTTCTTTTAAAAATACGAATCACATTGACAGTTGTCCCATCATTAAGAATTTCTTCAGTATCAAGAAACTTCAGGAAAATATCTCTTTTCTCTAGTGATTTTCAACCAGTGGGCTGCAAGATGTTCAATTATAGACTGCTTTGGGAAGTAAGAAAATTTGCATTTCACATACGTTGTTTCGGTCATGGTATTTTGTATCTGAATGCACAAAATTTATAAAATGTAAAGGCAGTGTATTTGAAGTAATTAAAACAGTTAATTGAACTGTCTAGATAACTCGTGTATGAGGTTATGTATGTAGTGTTCTACCACTCTAGCTAACCTCCCACAGATAGCCCCTAATAATTAAAAAAAAAATATTGTTAATCTTGTTCAGATCACCTATAGTTAGTTTAGAGCAGTCACAGTTGTCTCGGGTTAATGTATTAAAACTAACAAAGAACTTTCTTTTGACAGTTGATGGTGGCCAAAGGGCTATAATCTTCAGTAGAATAGGAGGTATTCAGAAAGAAATATATGCGGAAGGCCTGCATTTCAGGTAAGAATCAGATGTGAAAATTTATAATGGGAAAACTAAATTTCAGAAATTATTCCATATGCATGGTATACAAATATGTTTTTATATCATATACTACCAGTAGGGGTCACATACTGGGTAATTTTATATTAAGACACTGGATTTGAAAAGGCGGACAAAAAAAATCCCCCAAAGGAGGAACTATTTAAAAGTTTTTGTTTTTTTTACCAGAGCAGAGACAGTAATTTAGAAATATTTGTAATTATAAAATTTTTCTGAAGAAAATGAACATTATTTTGCCATTATTAAAATTTAGAGTAATTATTTTGGTTAGCTAAGATAGAATTATATACTTTGTTTTACTTGCACATACAGCTAAGCCTTAGGCTTAATACCATATAGTTAGGCCTAACGTACTGTTGTATTTAGTTGTACAAGGACTTAGCTATGGGATACTAAAATTAAGTTATAGAATATTTGATTAGAAATGAAGACTTATTAGCTATGTAAGTTGAACTTATTTACCTTAAGAACTGAAATTGTTTATTTGGTAGATGCTCAAAATTTAATACATGAGCATTTGATAACTAGAGTACATGTAGCTGTGGTATTCGAAATTAATAGTATTGCTATTAGTTAATAAGGAATCTTATTGTTAGTGTTACCTAAAATATAGTGTATAAACTGAAATAGCTTAATTTTAGTTATGTATTAGGTGGGTAGAATGGTAATAGAAAATAAAGATAAGTAAAATTTCAATAAGGCGTAAAGTAGCCTGGGAATAAATTGGGTGTAATTTGCAGGGTGTAGTAGGTGCTAAGATTGTGCTGCATTTAAGAATACTATATTGCAGAATTTGCTTATTTGAAAAAAGTTATAGTTTGGAGAAAAATTGTACTATTACTGTTAGAGGGGTAAAATAGGGAAGCAAGACAGGAAATGGATAATTAGGGTGAAAGTTGCTCTGGATGTGAGCGTAGAGTTCAGAGTAGTAAAAAAAAGGAGGGATGAAATGGTCAAGTGGGAGACTTTTATGTTAGATGTGCTAACAAAGTTATTTGTAGTAGGGAGCATAGGACTAGAATTTGTCTCTCGGGTGCTGAAGTATATAATATTATAGAATGTGTTGATTTTTAGCTCTGGCATTATGGAGAACTCTTTTTTTTTTGTAATGCAAGCAAATGATATTTGAAGTTGTAAGTAAGAAGAGGTGTTTAAAAAAAAGTATAAATTCCTTCATGCAGAAACTTGGGGATAATTATTTTTGGAGTGTGCTTTCTCAGGTTAGATGTGGAAATTAATTACTTAGCAGGTTCCAAGGTTTATCTGAAAGGTAATTGGGGATATGCTTACAGACCTCCCAGCAAACCTGCTTTTACGACATTATTTTTAATGCTTTGGTTTATACAAAAATGTATATTTACAGAAATAACTTTTTTACTCCTCATTCAAAAGGTAAAATTAAATTCTTAATTGTGGCTGTTATATATGTGCCCTGAAGCAGATATCGTGGTACACAGTAAGACCATAGAATAAACTACATGTAATTACCTACAATTCAATTGTAAGTCTATTTCCAACAAAGTTATTTGAGGTGTTGGTGTTGTGTGTGTGTGTGTTCCTTGCACTCTACTAATTAAGTAATTACAGTAGAAGAATCCACGAGTGGCTGCTTCACAGAGGCATCATGTGAGGAAGCTTGGATTGGGTTCTGAAATGAATGTTCTCATAAGATAAGAAAGGATTATCCTGAAGTGTGAGGCAGAATATGGGAAACAACTGTTTGGTTTTAAAAGACTTTATCAGTATAATATAGCACCTTCACAAGAGAGACATCACTGTATTTCAGTTACTTTTAGCCCGTCTTCTTGTGAATTTCTTTCCCATTATACTGCAGCTGTACTGAACTTAGTCCAACCACAAAAATGTTATCTCTGGTTTAGTTTGTCATTTAGCTATATCACCCAATTTAAATATACATGTACTTTGTATTCTGTCTAACAGACTAGTACAATTTTTCAAGCCAAGTCTGACTGCTGTAATCTGCTGTTCAAAAGCATGCACACTTCTTCGTTGATAAGCTAAGTGCACACATAACCCAAACATGCATGTCATTATAAACAAGCCTCGCATGGCTACCTGCCTTTTCTTTTTAAAACGATTGTATACATGATTGACAGGGACTTAAAGGTACACTGCTAGTGGCTAACAATATGCCATCTCTAATTCAAACAAATATTTTCTTTCATCTCGTGTACAATTAATTAGATGTGGCATTTTTATTGTTAAAGATTTATTGGTAGTAAGGTAGCCCCCACTGTCATGGTTCTTGGGCATATACTGTTTTTTGTTGCCATGTGATAAAGGGTAAAATTGTGCCAGCAGAAATACTGCATATAAATATTGTTATCAGGTTGTATCAGTTACATATCATATTTTGTATTCATTCTTGGAATGCCAAAAAATGTAAATGGAATATTCATAACATTAGTAAATTAAATAAGGTTATTAATAAAATAACTGTGTATTCCAGAAACTTTTTAAGTTGTAAAATATTGATTGGGAAGTTATTAAGGAAGACATTACTGTTATAACAGACACGTATGAGAAAATTTGAGAGAGAGTTGAGAATACTTGTACAAATGTAATAATACATAGTAAAGCTAGAAAAATTTAAGTATGAATACTGTATGTAAAATAAAATAGTCAATAAATCAGATAAACCATGGATTGTATCTGAAAATGATGAAAAATAGACTTGTTTAAAATGTACTCACTCATAAACATAGTTTGGCAACTAATCTGATGAGGAAAACAAAATAATTATAATACAATATTTTAAACACAAATAATTATATAAAGTTGACTTGGAATATAATAAATAGTTTAGGTAAAAAATTTTACTTGATGAAATAGTTCTCATAAATTTGTAAGTTATTATCTATTGTGAATAATTGTACTATTCTTTTTTGCAGTAGTAATTTTTAAGTTAAAAGTGAAATAATAGTACAAGATGTTTGTGTTGAAAACATGTATTACAATTCTTCAACATTGTAATTTTCTTCAGTGACTTGCATAGAGGTTAAAGTAATATTGGTGATTTTATAAAACTCAATGAATTGATAATATTAGCATTTGTGATATTAAAGAATTGTAATTTTACATTATCTCATGTTAGCTATATTTATAAATCAAATACATGAAACTTATGAAATACCGGTAAGTTAACTACGATAATGACGTGTAAAAAAGTAATGTAAGAAGAATGGGTATGATAATAACAGACCAGAATGACATGTATAAAAGTAATGTAAGAAGAATGGGTATGATAATAACAGACCAGAATGACATGTATAAAAGTAATGTAAGAAGAATGGGTATGATAATAACAGACCTGAATGACATGTATAAAAGTAATGTAAGAAGAATGGGTATGATAATAACAGACCTGAATGACATGTATAAAAGTAATGTAAGAAGAATGGGTATGATAATAACGGACCAGAATGACGTGTATAAAAGTAATGTAAGAAGAATGGGTATGATAATAACAGACCAGAATGACATGTATAAAAGTAATGTGTAAGAAGAATGGGTATGATAATAACAGACCAGAATGACGTGTATAAAAGTAATGTGTAAGAAGAATGGGTATGATAATAACAGACCAGAATGACACGTATAAAAGTAATGTAAGAAGAATGGGTATGATAATAACGGACCAGAATGACGTGTATAAAAGTAATGTAAGAAGAATGGGTATGATAATAACAGACCAGCTTTGATGTTGGAAATAATAGAGAAGTGTTTTTAATTAAATTTCTGGAAAAATAATATTATTACTACAGACCAGTGTGAGTTTAAAAATTACATAATTATCTGGTTATTATGTTTGTTGTTGAACTGATGGTAAAGTAGTATGTACTTTGTTATTCAATTCTAAAATAAGTTTTGATACATTTTAATTTATTTAAAAAGTTGTACAATACTGGTATTAGAGGTTTTTTTATTAAGATGCTTGATTTAGAAGACATGTACCTGAAAATATTGAAAATACTTTTAAGTGATCGGCATGAATCTTGTGCATATGAATGATCGACTGAGTTAGAACAGATAAATATAATTTTAAGTTGATGAAAGTTGATTTGTAGATCTTCAGTACTTTCCCAATTTCCATCATAATCAGTTGGAGTTAATGTTACAGTACAACTACTGTAACTTTTATGTACCAGTGCATAGTTAATATCAGAAGATTAAAAACCAACGAATTCTAGATTAATTATATTAATGAGATAGTATATTGACAGTTCCTTGCCAAATACACGTTGTTTTTGTGTAAAAATAGCTTTACACAAGATATTTTTTAAACGATATTTGAGATAATTTTAGTTTTGCTGTATTATTTTAATATGACATGTCATGAGCACCTCATTTTTCATTCTGCCAGTTAATAATTTTAAAAAGTGACTTGTACACCATTTCCTTTTTTCTTAGAAATTAATGATACGTTTTTTTAATTATTCTTCAGAATTCCATGGTTACAATATCCTATTATCTATGATATTCGAGCTAGACCAAGAAAAATTTCCTCTCCAACTGGGAGTAAAGGTGATTTGGATTTTAAATCATTTGTTTGTCGTCTGTAGTATAAAGGTTCAACAAGTAGCATGCACTAACAGTCAGTTTTTCTGTAGTTCCTATAACAAGTTTAACTTTATTTTATAATATTAGTTTAGATTTTAATAGGCAAGTTGCTCGAAAAAGCACCTCATTTTTAATATATATTTAATACTTAGCCATTTTTGACCTAAGAATTAAACTTCTACGTAAAGTACAATTATGACAAAAGCGCTTTATAAATTGATTGGATATTTAAACAATATAATATTGTAGAATGTAGAAAAGACTTTGAATTGTGTGATTATTTCCACATCTAGATTTGCAGATGGTTAATATCTCTCTGAGAGTTTTGGCCAGACCGGATGCCACCATGTTGCCTCACATTTACCGAATGCTAGGAACTGACTACGATGAACGTGTTTTACCATCCATTTGTAATGAAGTAAGTTTTTTTCAAAATTAAGTAGTATCATTTGACTTGTTGTGGCAGAAGTGTTTTTAACAGTACCTTCTAAGATATTCAAAGGAATTTTTAGTAAATTTTAACCACAAAATTTATCTGAAATGTAATCTAAACTATTAAATTTATAATAGATTTTATTATGCAAAGTGCATAGGATCATGTAAATCTTCTGATTTGATTTAATATCTTTGAACTTCAATATCATGTGGATAATTTCTTTATTATCTGTTTTACTTAGTTAATTCATTCGTGTTTTCTGCTTTTTGTATTAGGTGTTGAAAAGTGTGGTTGCAAAGTTTAATGCTTCCCAGTTGATCACCCAGCGTCAACAGGTGTCACTATTGGTGAGGAAGGAGTTAATGGAACGGGCTCGAGACTTTAATGTTATTTTAGATGATGTATCTATCACTGAACTGAGTTTTGGGAAGGAATATTCAGCAGCTGTTGAAGCCAAGCAGGCAAGTATTAAAAGTGATACAGATAAGAATGTCCCTCAAAACCTTTTGGCTTGAGAGTTTTGTAGTGATTTTATTTTTACACTTTTATTTGTCAAGATGTACTCCAGGTTATCTAGACAACATCCCACATTTTTAATTTAGACACTGTTACTTTTTATCCCTTGTTACACGTAGTACACAGAATTCTCCACCAGTTCAATTAACATGTACAAAATTTCTTGCCAAAGAGTTGTAGAAATTTGATGAAATTGAACTGTTATTTTCTACTAAGCATTGTTTAACATGATGTACTGTGTTTGTGATCTGCAGCTTTTAAAACGGAGGTATGTCAATAGAAATACAATATAAACTTAACCTGTTATGATTAAATCATTACCTTAAAACATCTCTTGTTCAGCATTAAAATTACATTTAAATAATAATGCTAAATGCTTTAATACTTCTAGAAAATATCAGTACATCTGGTTGATGTTTTGGCTCAAGTTTTGATAGAATTTAATATCTTGAGCCATTTTTACTAGGTGCAGGGAAACTATTCAGGTTATATGAAAGTTAGCACTTAATTAAGATGACTTACTCTAGCTAACTGGTAATTAGTAAGTTGAAAATAATTTAAGATAAATTTTCTTTACTGTCCTATTCTTGATATCAGTTTGTAGTTGATGAATGTGGAAAAGGCTCTAAGTATGCATTATGTTAATTTTTTTTATAATTAAACATATATTATCAAGTTATTTCAGAGGATTTATGTGGAAGATTACAAGTTCATGCTTTGTTTTTGAGATGCAAACAACTGTATACGAATAAATGCAAGAAAAATAAAAGACCAGTCTGCTTCTTTCAATTTTAAATTCCCTCAGAATTCAAGAAATATATGAATTTGTTGCTGTTGCAAGATTTGTTTAACTGAACTAAAACTACGCTCGCACTTAAATGACATCGGCATCTAATGAATTCATTCACACGTTATTTAAAAAAAAAGTCCATTCAGCTTAGGAGTAGTGGCTCTATCTTCTGAGTTAATGCAACATATTAAAACAATGCAATTAAAAAATTTTAATTGTATTTAGACAAATTTATTCATGAAAATTTGATTGGGCAAAAGCTACAGGATCTAATTCACCTTTACTGCAACTGTTAGTTTATTTGTACCAAATACTCAAAACATTTAATGTATTTGGAACATAAAATACAAAGTATATATTGCACTTAGATCACAAAAATAAAAGAAGGTATATATAACTGGGAAATAGAAGTGTAGAAAATTATGCATATGTAAAATGACCTAACTTTTTTATACCATTTCCCAGTTTTTAAGCAATATACGAAACTCCACGAGACATTGTAGTTTAATAACAAGCTTGTACTTAAGGGACAAATCGTACATAAAACAATAAAATGTATTATTACAAGTCAAACGTGCATCTGCTGTATACAACAAGGTGGTTGTCTCCATCAAACTAAATACGATGATAATTCCCCTTTGTTTAAAATACAACAGTTTATAAACACATACTTAGACTTTTTTTTTTCCCCTGTTGTTTCAGAGATGAATATTTTACCTAACTGCTGATGTGTCTTAATGTGATTCTACTCATAATTGAATTAAATTTGATCATGAATTTACCTAATTAGCTCCAACATTATTCCTATTCTGGCAATACCACCCTCTAATACATATTTAGTAGGGTTTACTGATGGCACTCGTAGTGTAAGGGAGGTGCCATTGTGTGGACTTGAGTCAGTAATCTTGTTGGTAAACATTATTCTTTGTCAAGGGGTATTACATTTGAAATCATAATTAAAGTTTCTAATTGTTAGAATTAAAAAACAACTGCTATTCATTTGTATATATATATGTGTGTGTGTGTGTGTGTGTGTGCTTAATTTGTAAATTTGTACATATTAAGATATTTTAATGTTACTCGCACATCAGTACACCACATGATGATTCGAACCATACAGAAAACCACTGTGATTTATAACCTGAGCATACTTCTGGTTTGTGAATCTTGGTACTGAGGATGAAGACGTACCTCAATGCTGTAAACACACACCTAAATTAAAGCAGAGCTTTGAGGAGGTAGGGTTAAGCCATTCTCTACCTCTTAATGCATATGCTATCTGCTACAAGTATTTCAGTTTAAAATCAATATGGTCAGTGGTTATGATGGATGACATCTTTAGTAATCTGATGGTGTATTTCTAGCATACAAGCTACTAACCAATCCTCAAAATTAGTGTCTTTTTGATGAAGGAAACAGAATAAAAATTGGAATTGGAGCAACCCATTTTATCTCATGTCTATCAAGTACCCTAGTGCAGTTCCATTGGACTTTCGTTATTTTGATAGATTTAAACATGGTCTAGTAATCCATTGTTTATGTGTAGTGGCGGGCCTGTTAAGTGTTCAAGATTTGTGTGAAATTTTAAAAGCTTGGTCAATGCTGATATCATCTTTATGACTGTTGCCTCAGACACATCAGGAATCTACAGTATCAGTTACAGAAGCACTAATAAATATTTTATTTAGGTATATTATATTTAGGTCTTCTACTTCTCGTTTTTTTTTAAATCTGTAGTTATAGCTGTTTTTAGTTTTATTTACATATCTTAATCAGTTTTTTTTAGGGGGGGGTAATTTTTAGTTTTATTTAGATACCATGAAATTGGTGTTTTTCACTTTTATTACCATAATGAGTATACTAATGTACTGTATATTACCTGCACATTAATTTCTGTTATGGGAGTAATAACAGGTATGAAACATAGTTCTATTTATGTTAAAGTTTTGTAAGAGTAGCTAATATTTTATATGAAATAATTATAAATAAGCTTGCCACTAACAGAAGAAACTCGTTCCTTTTCCTTCTGCATGTAAGGGAAAGGGTTAAGTCTCATGAGCACAGCGACTGGGTAAACGGAAGTGCTATTGTAAAGTGAATGGCCATTTCCCGTTTTTTTTTTCCGGGAAAATATTCATTTAATTAAATTTTCTGTTTTGTATTGTGTTGCGTTTTATCAGTGTTTATTGGTTAAAACTGAAAATTGGAAGCCCAGATTATATTCTTTCTGAAAGATATTTGTATCTGAAACACGGTGGGGGAATTGGCTGCCCTTGTAGTTTCCCACTTTAGACACTTCTGTTGAAGTTGTATGTTTTTTGAACATTAAGTATACACGTTCGTCTTTTTTTTTTATTGTTGAAGAGGTTGGGATGTATGTTGAAATTAGACGTCTTTTTTTTTTTCTTTTTTTTTCACTTATTGAACTCGATTAGTAATATAATGCATACACCCAATTTGGATAAATTAAATATTAACATGTTTAATTTAACAATTTTTCATAAGAATATTTATTCATATTATAACTAACCACTTCTAACTTTCTTAGCAGTGGAATTAGTGTTACTAAATAATCTTAAAAACATTGAAAGCTAAACATGTATTAAATGCCCCGAGAAGAACTGTATGATCAGGTGAGTGTTTATTTATAGGACAATAATGTATTTACCTCCTTAATTACAGATTGCTCAGCAAGAAGCCCAACGAGCAGCTTTTATTGTTGAACAAGCCAAACAGGAACGTCAACAGAAGATTGTGCAAGCAGAGGGAGAAGCTACAGCTGCTCAAATGATATCCTTTTATTTATTTTGACAAAACAAAGCTAGGGTAATTTCTGTGAGATGTCATCCAAACGGAATTAATCATTTTAGTACTAATTAGTTAATTTGTCAGCAGGGTGTCTCACGAGCACATACTTAGTTCAATGTCAGAAACTTGTAAATTGTTATAATTAAATCTGAGTTTTGGTTTTTTGTTATATTAATACTGTTTTTTGTTGTTGTGTGAAGAGTATTTTCAGAAATTAACTTCTGTAGTGTTGACTAAGTTATATGTGAACTAGTTTTAAATTAATATTCAATTATCTAAGATTGGAGGTTTAACAAGTTAAATTTAGTTGGTACAGTTGTTTGTTGTCCAACATTTCTGAAACCGTCTGTTTTATGTGATAATTCCAAGATTGAGTCGTTCTGGTACTTCTACCTTTTTTTATCTTTTGCAATGTAGTAGTTTTACAAATGGTGCAAATATTTGATAGTTACACCATCTATTGATAGATTTCTACATATTTTACCTTCAGGGAGCAATAGGATCATAAGGAAATTATTGTTGTTCTAATATTTAATACTATTGTTGAGGGACTACTTTTTATCAAGTAGGAACATGGGAGAAAATGCTTCCTAAGTTGTCCTTCTATGAATATTATGTTTGAAATGTCTTTTCACCAGAGCCAGTGTCATTCATGAAGAAGAATATTACCAATCAGCCATGGACACAGTCATTAAATTAAGCTTATTCTGCTGTACTTATGTTATTCTTATACTAAAAGCATACATCAAACTTAATGCAAGCATGAAATTATTCTGAAATAAAGCACAAGCTGTCATTTAGAATACTACAGGATAAAAAGAGGAGAAATATTTAGTTTTGAGTAACAGAAATATTTATAGTAACTTCTAAACAAAATATACATTTTATTAGAATAAGTACTTCAAATTGCCATGTTAGGTTGGCTGTAAAATTGAATTAGCACGCATACACGCTAAAATAGTCCACTTATGGAATTGCAACATTATTGGTACAGTTATTGAATTGATCATAGGTTTTATTGGAGGGGAGGGGGGAATTAAGGCCAAACTATAGTTTCTACAACATGAGTTTTTAGATATGTCTACCCACATTTGAATTTAAAAATCTGAATTTACTTAACTGGTCCCGAAGTTATTCAAATAAATACATTGTATGTATGTACTGAAGTATTCCCATTCTATCAACATCAATTTATGATATGTATTTTAGTATTGTTTATTGATGGTACTTATCCAAATTAAGGGTGGTGCTACTGTGTGATAATGTTCCTATGTGAACTTGTTGGTATACATCGTCCATAGTCCAAAGGTATTAAATTTGAAATCATTTTTAAGATTGCTAATTGTTTAAATGAAACAGCTATTTTTTGTTCTTCTTAACTTGTAAATTTGTACATATTAAGTTATTGTTTAGTATTTTAATGTTACTTGCACATCGGTACACCACATGATGATTCGAACCATACAGAAAGCCACTGTGATATATAACCTGAGCATACTTCTGGTTTGTGAATCTTGGTACTGAGGATGAAGACGTACCTCAATGCTGTAAACACACACCTAAATTAAAGCAGAGCTTTGAGGAGGTAGGGTTAAGCCATTCTCTACCTCTTAATGCATATGCTATCTGCTACAAGTATTTCAGTTTAAAATCAATGAGGTCAGTGGTTATGATGGATGACATCTTTAGTAATCTGATGGTGTTACTGTTGTGTGTACTTTTAGCATGTCCCAATTTCAAGATAATGATTATTTTATGTTTCCAAAGTGATTTAAGTATATAATATTGAATGCTTTTAAAATACAATAATAAACTAAAATTGCTTAATTCTTTGATTTTATTTTTTTTTTCTAATCATGATGTTGCAAATCTTGGTTTATAAGTTACATCTTCATTGGATGTAGAATTAGGCATACCAACTTTCCAAAACTTTTTTTGCTGCAATATTTCAATAATACAGACTTTCATTCTGATTATTAGTACAAGAAAGCACCTTCTTATGTCCTTCCATTATGCACCGTAAGTGTACCACAAAAAATGGCTAATGGAAAATTGATGTTATAATAATCACAATGTTTTAGGCTGGGATGTCCTACCTTTGGGGATTTTAAACTTTCTTAGCTGAATTTTAAGGATTGAATATCTATATTTGAAACTTCAAATGATTTATATGAATACAAGTGTTCTTTAGGTTATATCAGATCCACCACTAGGTCGTTACAAGTTTATATACAAGGACATGCAAATTTGAAAGCTGTCATTTTTGAGCATTGAAAACCATGTGCTGAATTAATATAATAAAGGACAATTTAAAATCCTTTCAAAGGCAGATGATGAACAGGATTTGTTTATAAAGAAAAGTATTGATCAGTAGGCTTCAACTGGAGTTTAATAAACAGAATAGTGCAGCTCACTTATTAATTCTGTATTTGTGTTTTGATACATCTACATTACCAGAGGCCTAACTTGAGAGTAATTTGTTATTGATTTTATATTTCTTTAAATTTATCAAGCTTACCTCAATGTTTAATTTTCTTTTTAGGTCTTTTTATTTTGGATGATAATTCATTTTACGTACCTGAACTGCATTTTTAAATGCTGCAAAGCAAAAAAATGTGGAATATAGTGATAGTGTCGTATGCATCAAATATTCGAAAACAGCACAATTGTCTATGTCTCTATTTTAAATACCTTGGAAGTTTCATAAGGGATACCAGACAGCAGACTTCTTTTTCTCCGGGCAGTTTATCCTTGTGGCAGATACATACATTAATGTCAGACTTGCATTGCAGTTTTTTCACTGATACAACTCTAAACCTTCTAATTTGTATTAAACTCGTATTTTCACATTATAGAGATTTCCTACCTGATAAGGTTCGTCATGTCCAAGTTTTAGTCTGTATAGCCTTAACCTTACAAGAGTATGGTGGTTTCTCTGTAGTGTGCTGTCTAGTATAAATTATAAGAACTTTCTATGTGATTAATGAACATCCTTAGCTTTACCTACTTAGGAGAAGCCCTGACGCTCAACCCAGGCTACCTGAAGTTAAGAAAAATTCGAGCTGCACAAAATATTGCAAGAACAGTAAGTACTCTGAATTTTGAGCTTTGCAAGTTTTTCAACCACACAGTTGAGTATTTAACTTTTGTTCTATAGTCTGTCACTTCTAAACGAGAGATAACTAGTTCAGATAGCCCTCAAATAACTTTGTGCAATATTTTACAAACAAAATCACTACCATCGACATTTGTATTTATAAAATATTTTAATGCTCATAACAAGAACACTCAAACTTAATTAATTCATATTGATTCTATCAGAACTAAAAAAAAGAAATTGTAGATCTGTTCTAACAGTTTTGAGATTTATAAAACGTGGATTAATAATGAGCCTAAAGATATTTATATCACGAAGTTGATATTTATTAACTGAATTGAATGACAACATTTTAATGTTATATTTTTTTAGAAGACATTTGAGCCTGTTTATACTCATTGCAATATTTTATATTTGTTTTCAAATTTACTGAACTCTGAAATTTTTCTGTCCAGTTCAATCTGTTTAGATAAGCTTTACATAACAAAGTATTTTGATTTATTGATAGATTGCTAACTCTCAGAACCGAGTCCAGTTCAGTCTGTTTAGATAAGCTTTACATAACAAACTATTTTGATTTATTGATAGATTGCTAACTCTCAGAACCGAGTATACTTGAATGCCGGTTCATTGATGTTGAACATCGCTGACAAAGGTTATGATCTTCAAAACTTACCTGACGGGAAGAAGAAGTAGATGAAGATAGTGAAGAAGCAGACCAATATGGAGGAAAGACTGTAATTTACCTTTTGAAACATTATTATAACTTCTAATATAACCAGTTTTTCTATATTACAGTTTGAAGTAAAGCTTGAGTTGTGTCTAGCATGTTTACGATGTATGCTGGAGATGAACGAACTCTGTATACTTCAAAAATTAGAAATTAAAAGCTTTGAGTAGATCGTCCACACAAACCATCAGTGTCTGTATTAGTAAGTGTAATTACAATTATAAAGCATGTAAATCCTGATTTTCATTGTTTAATAAAATTGTATCTAGTTGTTATTTCTACATCAGAACATTTTGTACACAGTTAATTTGTTGGTCTTTGTTGCTGCATTACAAAACTAGTTTCATAGTTGCTTGGCAAGTAACAGTTAATATTTCAAAGCTGCCATAATGTAAAACCAGTTTCACAGCTGTGGTTCTGGTAATAGTAAACTGGCAATTTATAAGCATAATGACAAAACATTGCTCTCTCTCTCTCTTCGTAATGTGTAACTACTCAGTGCTGCTATACATGTAACATTCTAACACTTATTGCTTACACTTCTGTTGAGTTAGCATAAGAAGTTATAAAATCATTGTTTCCTTGTTATATAAAACTTGTTTACTTTTCAAATTGTCATGGTTACATTTATCTTGTCTTACCATAATGAAGTGTGTGTGTGTATAGATCTTTTATAGAAAAAAAAAGCTGATATTTATAATGAAATAATAGGAAATGTTAGGTTTGTAGTATCTAATATAAAAACTGAATGATCCACATTTCAAATGTTGGAAATGTGAATGATGAATACCAGCAAATGCAAGACTGGGATTGAAGTATGATTTAAAAAAATAAATATACACAACTTCTATAACAATAAAATATTTTTAAACATTTTATCTTTTAAAAATAACTGAAATG